AAGGGACAGGGCTTCGCGGTTGGGTGTTGAGACTTCTCAATCCGTGTTTTCATGTCACCCTCAGATGTACCTTGTGATCTCACAGCAAGATTCAGCCCTGAGGGTCCACGTCTTTGAGGAATAAACGCATACCTTTGACCCACCATCTTTAGCCTAATACCAACACTTTTCCTCACTAAACAATGTCTTAGAGCACATCTCATACTTAAACGTGCACTGGACAGACGTACTTCTGATCGTCCAAAGACTTCTCTGGTCGAAGGACACACTGAGGTCCTTGCTTGGTGACTCTGGCTGGCACTGGCTTTCCCCTGTTACCCAACATCAGCAGGTGAATGATGATGACCTTGAATCTGCGCAGGAGCTGGTGGGAGATGTGCAGGGAGCCCGCCAGCAGGCATGGGGCTGTCTAGCTGCGGGGACACAGGCTGAGGGCAGGGCAGGGGTGGCTGCCCGCTGGTGGGGGTGCTTAGCTCCCACTCCTGGGGAGGGGAGCACGGCTGGCTCCTGGGGTAGAGGGCATCTCGCCTTCCTGGTGGGAACTGGCAGCGATTGTCCGGAGAGCCCAAACTGGGCAGAGAAGCAGGTAAGGCCTGAAGGATCTGAGACTAGAGAAGCTAGATGCACCTTTTGGGTGCAGGAAAGAGCAAGAGCGAATTGGCTGGAAGTGGAGACTGAAAGGCTGGATGCCGTGGTCCCAGGGGTTCGTGTTTGGCAGTAAAGTCCTGGCAAGTGCTGATGAGATGGAGGGCGTTTCCTGTGTGTGTAACTCATGGGGGAATGCGGGGTGTAGTGATGTTCGCTGAGCGGGAGTGGCAGTCAGGTCCGGCACAGGCCACAGCCCTTGATAATGACACTGAGGGTGAGGATGAAGATCCAGGGTGCCAGGAAGGAGAGGGTGCTCACAGCCGATGGCACAAAACCTCAGGGCAAGCATGCGGAAAGTTGGATAGTATTAACGTACTTCAAGAAGAGGCACGCGTCATTGGGAAGACACGAATGAGCACATGAACGTATCAGATCTGTGACAGGAGGGGGTCCAAACAGTGCTCAGAGAAATCTGTTCGTTGGAAAACAAGATATATGGGAAATAAAGGAACTCAGCCTTCAGATCAAGTTATCAGGACCCCAAAATACACCATAAGCAAGCAGAAAGAAGAGGCAACGAAAATAAAGAGCATAAAGGGAAATCGGGAAGAATGACAGTTGAATTGAGCAACACAAGAGACCCCCAAGGAAGCGTGTCTTTATAAGATACACTCAGAACCGCAGAGGAAGAGGTCACCTCCAGGAGGTGACACGGGAGAGGATCCTGAAGGGGGGTGTGGTGGATGGGTAAAGCCCGGAGGTGCAGGTGGGCAGCGCAGAGCCCAGCGACCCCAGCGTCCCCTAGGCTGTGGAGAGGGCGTAGGCTCCAGGCTGTAGGTGCTCGTCACACTACCTCCGTGAGCCGAGGCTTCCAAAGTGTCCCCAAATGTGCGTGTTCTTCTGTTGGCTCCAAGCAGGGGCAGGCCTGGAGAGTGACCTGGAAACCCCTTTGCCTCTTGCAGGGGTGAAGTGATCAATGGAGGATTTGGCCTCGTGCTGGACGGGACCCAGGAGGCTGAGCAGAAGGCCAGGATGATGCTCAGCTGGGATGTGTCCAATGGGGTAAGTCACACCCCAGGCCTTTCCGCTGGCCTTGTCTCCAATGGGGGGCTCTGCCTCCCCAGACTGCAGACCTGAGAGAGAGTTCTGCTCCCTTCCTCCCCAGAAAACAGTCACACCACACCTGCACATTAGCATCTCTCCTCTCCAGCGACCGGGGTCCCTCTGTGCATCCTTCTGGGCTGTTTCTGAGTCCCCTTTGTGTCTCCCTGCCTCTGGCCTTACTCCTCCAGTCCAGCTTCAGCGTCTGTGTGCACAGGGGGCCCCGGCCCTTCCCTCCCAGTGAGAGCACCCCCAACTTCTGGGGCTGAGGGCCTCCTTTCAAAGCGTTTTCTTTCCACATCTCTGAAGGCAGAGATCACCTGCTATCACCTGTGTGCGGAGATGCAGTCTTCTCTGTGTGTGCATGTGTGTGTGACCCTGCGGGGACTCCCTCCCTCTCTGTGACCACGTCACAGGTGGCGAGAAGGGGTGATGGGCCCAAATGGGAGGTCAGGCAATGATGGGGAGGGGTGCTGAGTGAGTGGGTGGATGTCGGGTGAGAGAGTGAGTGTAAGAGTGGGGGAGTGGGGGGATCCCTGGAGGGGCTGACTCCCAGGGAGCCCCCAGAGGAGGGGGCGGACTTCTCCTGAGGGCCGTGAGGCAGTGAGGGGAGGGACGGAGGAGGTGAGGGGGGCATGAAGATGGGGGGTGGCAAATATGACAGCAGGGAGGCGGGGGGAGCCCTGAGGACTGAGGGGGGAGAGAAGGAAGAAGACTGGAGAGAGATTTTAAGGCAGAGCTGAGATGTATGCAGATTCTCTGAGGATGGGGTGGAGGGAGGAGGGTGTGGAGGGTGATTCCCCGATACCTGGCCTGCTGCCCCTGCGTGGAGGCAAGCTCTTTTTTGGACATGGAGTAGGCTGGGTCAAAGGATGGCCAGTTTCAGATCGGAGAGGCAGCTAAGTGAGTCATCCAGCCAAGAGAGAAGGTGGCTGAGCCAGAGGTACGGATAGGGCAGGTGCATCACACATAGCACAGAGGGTCCCTCAAATGGGAGACGGTCAGGATCTGCAGCCCGGCCTCGGTGTGTCCGGAATGCTTTGCCGGGGACCCGGTGCTGGCACCAGTAGCCCCCCCCCCCCGTCCCCACCCTGCAGGTGGCTCGGCGCTGCTGGTCTGGGAACCGAAAGGCCCACGAGATCATCTGCCAGACGATGCAGGACAACAAGGGCTTGGTGGTGACGCTCCCACAGGAGGTGGCAGATGAGCGCCTGCTCCAGCAGGCCCTGAGGCTGTGAGGGGAGCCCAGGAGCCGGCTGCGGTCCCCTCGCACGCTTAGTCCCTGTCCTCACCCTCACAGCCACACTGCACCTTTCAGCACACCCCTTTGTCTCCTGGGGTGGGAGTTTCACACACAAGCCCTCATCTGGGGATGTGCCACTACCACCCCCATTTTACGGATGAGCCAGCCAAGCCAGGAGAGGTGGGGCCACTTGTCCCTGACTGCTGGGAACCCTGGGTGGGGGGCAATCACCCTTGTCCAGGGCCAAATCCCCTAGCCTACCACAGAGGAGCCTGGACTCCAGGAGCTTTTGGAGGGCGTGCATGCCATGGATACTGGGCACCAACAAGTCCCTTCAAAGCCCCTGCCGGTCCTTCTCCTGCAAAGGGGGCAGCGTTTCCTTTGTCCTGTTTTGCAAATCATGCTGCCTCCTGTCCACCCATCCACACAGCTGTCCTTCCATCTGCTGGCCCATCCAGGTGTCTGTGATGTATGTTCTGCACCTCAGTGCCCCCAGCTGTGGGACCCAAGGAGCACGGCCAGGCCCGGGGCTTGGAGGGTCCGGGAAGGAAAGCAGGGAAATAAAGGATTAACTAGAAGCCGTGTAAGGTGTCATGGGCAAGGAGGACACGGGTTAGTGGGATAGGGGCAGGCAAGACTTGGCCCTAAAAGGTAAGTGGTACTTTGTGGGGGGAAAAAAGGAAAGAGGAGGGTGTTTCTGATGTCTCACACAGCATGGGGCACAGGAAAATGCAGCACAGTCACTGCTGAGGGGAATTGGTGGCTCCAGAGAGCCACGTTTGGGGCCATGTGTCCTGCAGGAGCCCTGTTGGGCCTGAAGCTGTGTTCTTACACACCCCCCACCCCCGCTCAGATCTCTGATCTCAGTAATGGCTGGGTCCATAACCCAGGCTCAGAGGCAGAGTGCCCAGGCAAAGGGGATTATGTGGCCATGCTTTTCCAGGCCTTCCTTTTGAAGTAGGCTCTGCTCTTTTTAAGGTTTCCCCTACTTTTAGGACCCCCTCCCCTTGCCTCCTTGACTCTGGGTGTCTGATGTCCGCATCCTCTGGGGTGCCGCAGGCTGTGGGTGTGAGTGGCTTTCCCCATGACCCCTTAGCCCCTTGAGCTGAGACCAAGAGGAGGACACAAGGTAGTACTGGGTTGGGGGTGGGAGAGAGGGAGGAGAAAGACCCCCAAAGAGAGCACTGCCCTCTGATGCCACTGAGAGCATGCTGGGGGGAGGATACTTTCTTATTTGGTTCACACAATGGGACCCAGGCCAAACCCTTTGCCTTACTCAGAACAAGCCCCTCTGGGGAGAGGACTCTGGCTCCTCCCTCCAATGCAGGGCAGACCATGGCATCAACCTGTTGTGGGACCGGGCCTGGGAGATGGGGTCGGGGTGGGGGGGGTACTGCTTCCCTGCCCTACAACCAGTGAGATGTCCCCTTCCCTTTTTGTTTAATTGAAGGAGAGTTGACACACAATCTGTGTGTGTGTGTGTGTGTGTGTGTGTGTGTGCTATTTTTGGAAGAGAGAGCACGAGCAGGAGAGGGTCAGAGAGAGAGGGAGACACAGAATCCGAAGCAGGCTCCAGGCTCTTAGCGGTCAGCACAGAGCCCGACGCGGGGCTCAAACTCACAAACCGTGAGATCGTGACCTGAGCCGAAGTGGGGTGCTTAGCCAACTGAGCCAGCCAGGCGTCCCTTAGTTGACACACAATCTTATATTAGTTTCAGGTGTAGCACACAGTGATTTGACAAGACTTCCCCTTTCCTTTGTAATTAACTAGGCTTTAGAAATGAAATGCCAAGAGTCTGATAAAACTTTGATGCATGTAATTTATGCTTATTTAATGGAGAAGGCCAAACTTGCTTTCTGGAGCCCCAACCTCTGGGTGCATTTCTTTTATAAAATAAAAATTTCTCCTAAATTAAGAGGTGGATGGGGAGGGGGTGGCAGGCAGTCCTTAGATTTCTCCTAACCCTGCCTGCCAGGACCTCAGGGGCCTTGGGCTCTCAGAGCCCAGTTTTCTAAGCTAACACAGAGTAGTAACACCTGCATCACGGTCAAGGGGTGACCATGGTTCTGCTCTATTCTCCCCCGGGTTATAAAAAAGAGGCAAGAGGAGGGGTGAATTTCTTACCTGTCTTCTTCCACGCTTCCCACCCCATTGACTGATATTGGGACCTTCCCCCTTCCCTGGGAACATCCAGGGTCATGCAGGAAGTCAGGCAGAGGGCAGCCCCACCACATTGGCTGGCTGTCCAGGCCAGGAGACCTCTCCCTGGCCATGACCTCACTGTGCAAAGCAAGGCAGCTTTGGCTATGCACTTCATTCTCATTAGTTCCTAACCTTAGCTCAGCCCCTGGAGCTCATGACAAACACCCACCCTAAACAGACAATTGAGAAGGACATTGGGGGACAGGTGTCTAAGGAGCCAAAGAAAACCTGACACCCCCCCCCCCATGCTTGCAACAAGGAGGCCAGTCTAGCTGGGGTCTGAGTCTTCAGCCACTCGGCACTGTTTGTCTCCTCCCTAGGGGCCATGTTCTCCTTTCCCCTTACTAACAAAACCCCAATTTGGTCTGGGCAACAGTATATACATGAAAAAAATAGTTGATTTTCAAGACTGCTTTGCAATCAGGAGGGACTATTGGCCCTGAGATGATGTGGAAGTCTACAGGGTAGGACTCCTGAGAAAGTCGGAATAAAAGTGGTCGGATGAGGCTGGATTGCTTTTGGCCCTCTCCCCTCCTCCCCCGTGAGAACCTCCACTGTGATGCCTGGAGGCACAGCAACCCTGCATGGAGGACATTCAGGGAAAGGCAGAGGTTCCCCGGGCTTCTGGTGGCAGTAGAGCTGCTGTCCCAGCCCCGCTGGCCCTCGTCCAGACTCCACAGTCCTCACCTGTTAAAGCCATCCCAGGAGGGCTTCTGTTCTATGCAGCAAGCTCACTTCTAAATCCTCATAGGGTCTGTCAACAAGTCTCCGTGGAGAGTGCTCTGGAGCATGTATCGGCGTGCCCCTTCCCTGTTCCTAGGGAGAAACAGAGGCCGTGTTCCATGTTAAGACCAAGACCTTTTCCCATCCCACGTCTTCCCTTATTTTATTTTTAAAGTAGGCTACATCCTCAGTGCAGGACCTGAACTCACAACCCCGAGATCAGGAGTTGTGCGCTTTACTGGTTGAGCCAGCCAGGGACCCCCAGCACCTTCCCTTATTAAGGAGAGGCAGGCAGGGCTCGATGGCCAACTTCGGGCCATGGCTCAGGGGGCTTCTAGCCACAAGCCTCTTGGCTCCATTCCAAGCCAGGCCAGGAAGCAGGCTACTTCCCGGGGGGGGGGGGGGGGGGGGGGGGTGGTATGTCAGCCCTCCACCATCAGGAAGAAGGCATGACTAACATTCAGAGTGGGGCCACCATGGGGCTCCGCACGGAGCTGGGGCAGCCGACCACAGCCTTTGTAACCATGGAGTGTGCAGAGGCCACTTTGAACAATGGAAGGTAGAAAAAGCCCATCAGGCGACCCGCCTCTAAATATCCTTCGTTCCTAACTGGCCAAAGGGCTACATACAACCAAGGCACGGTTACCACAAAAGGGGAGAATTCGATACGTCACCATACCTCTCAATCTTCCCCCTTAATTAAAAAAAAAAAGTTTATTTATTTATTTTGAGGGCGACAGAGAGTGCACACAAGCGGGGGAGGGGCAGAGAGAGAGGAGAGAAAGAATCCCGAGCAGGCTGGGAATGCAAGCTGGTGCAGCCACTCTGGAAAACAGTATGGAGGTTCCTCAAAAAACTAAAAATAGAACTATGCTATGACCCAGCAATGGCACTACTAGGCATTTATCCAAGGGATACAGGTGTGCTGTTTCGAAGGGACACATGCACCCCCATGTTTATAGCAGCACGATCAACAACAGCCAAAGTATGGAAAGAGCCCAAATGTCCATCGACGGCTGAATGGATAAAGAAGATGTGGTATATATACACAATGGAGTATCAGTCGGCAATCAAAAAGAATGAAATCCTGCCATGTGCAACTATGTGGATGGAACTGGAGGGTATTATGCTAAGTGAAATTAAAGAAAGACAAATATCATATGATTTCACTCATATGAGAACTTTAAGAGACAAAACAGATGAACATAAGGGATGGGAAACAAAAATAATATAAAAACAAGGAGGAGGACAAAGCATAAGAGACTCATAAATATGGAGAACAAACAGAGGGTTACTGGAGGGGATGTGGGAGGGGGGATGGGTAAGGGGCACTAAAGAATCTACTCCTGAAATCACTGTTGCACTAGACGCTAACTAATTTGGATGTAAATTTAAAAAAATAAAAAATAAGACAAGTTACAAAAAAAAAAAGAATCCCAAGCAGGCTCCCCACTGTCAGCACAGAGCCCGATGTGGGGCTCCATCTCACAAACTGTGAGATCATACATGACCTGAACTGAAATCAAGAGTTGGACACTTAACCGACTGAGCCACCCACACGCCCCGATCGTCCCGCTTTAAAAGCAACCCCCACCCACCACATTCTTGCAGATAGCCTCTCTTGGGTCCTGCTTGCTGCTCCCTTCAGTGTATTCTATAAACTTCTATCCCCTTTGTTCTGCCTCAGATGAATTCTTTCACTTCCTGCACCCCCTGCTTCCACTCGATCGTCACCCCACATTCGGGGGCCCCCATCTGATCGAGAGACACCTCATCTAGATTCCACAGAGGGGATGGAACACGTGGCTTGTTAGGTGGTGTCTCAGGCAGACACAGGAAGTCCATATTTTAAAGGGATTCCGTCTCCAGTTCAGTGTTATTTTTAAGAAAGCAGAGATGTGTGGTCTACTGAGAAATGTTTTCATCAAAATGATGAAAACAGAAACCAGTTGGCCATGACCGGCATTGGCTTCAGTTGCCTTGAAAATCCAAGGTTGTGAACGTGTCAGGGTCTCTCCTGGGTAGCCTCTGTCCTCTCTGAACCTGGAACTCCCTGGGAACCAGATGCT